CCCCCCCCCCCCCTCCCCGTCCCTCCTAAAAAGAGCTTGCGACACATCCCTCACCCATGGCACAAGAGCTCTCCATGTGCAGATGTCAAGAAATTCACCTCATGCCTTCCATTTCATGTCTGAAATGCACCTCCCCACTGAGGCGACGCTATAGACTTCCATTTCATCGAGCTCAAAGTGAAAACCCAACACAGACACGGGACGAAACAAACCCAGCAGACACTCGACAGTATGTCCTTGCCAACTGGCCGGGCTGGCCCGACACTCGACAGTTGGTCGCTGCCAACTGGCCCAGTCGTCAGGCTCACTGCCTTCAACTGCGAAGCCCTGGCACTTGTTGAGCAGTGTGTCCATGGCTGCCTTGGGGACGCCACCCTGGGGGATGCCGATGTCCATCCCCGGCGGAGCCAGCAGGCAGGACAGAGGCGAGGGCGCATTGGTCAGGTCAGTGGTCTCTGTCTTTTGCTCCAGTCTCGCCACTCGTGTGAAGGTAAGCCGGGCAATCACTGTCCGAAAGGTCCACGGATCGCAGCAGAGGTCTCCGACGTAGGGGCAGTCCAGTGTCCCCTCGAGCTTGTAGGTAAACAGAAGGCAGCTGTCCCCGTCTGGTTGAGACCTGAGACCTCTATCTTGTCATATAGGACCACAGCAGACAGCTCACGACTGAAAGGCACAACACACGTCGGTACTCCGCCTATGTTGTGCGTGCCCCTGCCGTCTGTCTGACTTTCTGTCTGTCTGTACCTGTCTTTGACCCGCATGATTATGATCAACGGTTTTTGGCCCCTGACGGCATCGACAAAGTCCAGCCAACGCCACCCATCAACCGACGCCCTGCAAACAAACGATCAGTGCAATACAGTCGTCCAAACTCCTGCTCTCTTGGCTGGCAACTTCAGTCACTTGTAGATGCGCTCGATCGGCTCGCCCACATGAGACGGCAACACGGGCAGGGCGAGAGGAGCCCCGGGATGTCCCCATTTCTGTTTCTGTCTCCATTCCTTGATGTTGTGCAGGTGCTGGCTCTTGAGCAGGCCGTCAGTCGGGCCGAGGTACCGATCGGCGCCGATGCCGAAGACGTCGAGCGCCCGACGGAATTGAGAAGCACTGACATCGCCCATTGCCTCCCGCACGTCAGCTGATGTGATGGTCCGGCGCTCCTGGTGGGCCCGCACAGCGACGTCGACGACACGGCGGACGCAGTCGAGGCCACAGTCAGTGGAGCCGTTGTAACTGAACCACAGCAACAGCCCACCACATGTGAGTGCCGGCGGATGGCATCCCTCAGTGCCGTTGTGCTCTCACCGAGTGAATCGTCCGTAGAATGTGCTGTCTTCTCCGCCTAACGACTTGGCCACCGCGTGGGTGATGGCCACACTCGACCCCAACACATCGATGGAAACCAACTGAACAGACATCCGACCGAGACGATACAGAAGGAAGCCTTCCCATCGCTGTCTTTGTATGTGCACCTGATCGTCGTCTGTGTTGCTTGTCTCGAGGAATGGCTTGATGGCATCCAAGCGGGCCAGCTCGGCCTTCTTGGCCTGCTCGATCTGCTTGAGAGTGGCTGTGAGCTCGGTGCTGATGCGCAGGGCTGCTGGTAGTGGATCAGCTGCTGGACTCTCATGCGTGTTGTCTAATTCGGTCCTCTGAGGGTCGCTGTCATTGTCGGGTGGTGGAGGGGACTGCTCGGGGGCCGATGGGTCGCAGAGGAGGGCATCCACCCAATACCTGACACCCACAGACACATACGAGGTGACTGCGGTGTTATGTCGGTCACTCTCTCACGTGTGCGGCAGATCTGTCTGTTTCGCGGCCGGCAGATCGATGACCTCGACGTCGCCCAGCTCATAGTAGCGCAGCTGCTCAGCCAGCCTGACACACAGAACGTGACACAAACAACACTGCAAACGTGACCACACTCCCTACGTCTGTCCTTCGTGTGAGAGCTGACCATTTGAAGGCCGGTGGGTACGCCGGAAGGAAAATGCGATCGGTCGAGTCGCGGACGACCGCACCGTCGAAGCAGCCGCCAAACAGCGAGGCCAGGACAGATCCCTTCTTGACACACAGAGTGGAGCGGCGCACGCCGCGGAAGATCTCGCCGCTGACATTGAGGTATAGCTTGTCTGTGGCCATCTG